TCTACTTTGTTTTTTACTTTATTTAATAATTTGCAGTACATAACTGTGGCAGACTTAAAATCTGCTGTTTATAAAATGCGTTGAATAGTAAATGAGTGCGTTTTATTCCCTTAATCTATAAGAATACTTCAGGCACTTAAATTCATGCAGTCTGAGATAGAGTTTATTTTTGGGGAGGAAGACGTAAATAATATATAAACGCTGTGCGTAATTTATTATATCGGTTCGAAAAAAGAAACAAATCTGGTGATTAATATCACTATTTTGACCTGAAATTTGATGTTTTCTATCTCAAACAATTAGTTTCACTATTCATATAATACCAACATTTTATGATATAAAGCGGAGAAACAACAGATTATTCAAAAATCTCTACATTCTCTAAGATTTTAACTCTTAGTTTTTTTCACCTCATACCCTTTCGTAAGACTATTTTACACTTTTATCAGCAGATTCAATAGTTCGCGTAACTCAGCAATAGTGTTTGATATTAAACTGCTAAATGTTGATCTTTAGACTATTTTTTCAGCTAGACTATTTTAGAGTACTTTATTATATTAGAGTACTTTATTATATTTATTTGGCAAAATATACAGTACTAGCGGAAGTACCCAATGGCCGTCAAGTTAGATTTTGAATAATGCATCTAACAACGGAGAGAACAATACCGCTGTAGTCCTTCTCTAATAACTATGCAAATAATACGATTCATAGTCATACATTTTTCAGTCTGATGCGATATGGAACCCACATAAATATTACGATAGAAAAATAAACTAATTCTCTCCCATTATATCAGCAACAATGGCACACAGTTTATATTGATTTTCATCTTTCTAAATCAAATGGTCGTAAAAACTCAAGTTCCATCCAATATTCCATTTATATTCAATTTTAGTCGATTAAATGTGGAAAACATTTATCAAGATAAATCAGAAATCAATAACGCGAACAAACACACAAACAGACATTCTTCCTTATATGTATAGATTTTGCAAAGCATATTTTTTTAATTAACAAACTTTGCGATTTGAAAGCGAGTAGTAGCAGACCTTTTCGAAATAAAGCATTTTTATCTCCAACGCGCGAGACAGTTGCCACGCGTAAAAATGAGTGCGAAAATTAGAGTTTTCAGAGTTTTTAATTTACATCTCTGAATTAAGCCGTTTCTTGAAGAAACGTGGACGATGACCTTTTCCAGAACCCAGAAAAGAATTATAGAAAGTTTGGTGACGATACCTATGTAGCTGTAGTAGTGACTGAGTTATTAGCGAACAAACAAACGCACAGACTTTCTTCTTTATATATATAGATAGATTATTGCTGTCGTTACGCTAAGTGCAGGCATAAATCAATTACTAACTTTACTGATGAGAAAAAAGCAGTAATAATTTTAAACTGGGAAACGTTAAAATCTATTTTTGTTAATTTCAATTTTATTTTAAGACCATTACTGAAAATCTTTCACTGGTTACGAATAGTTTCAGCCAATGAGATCTCATAAAAACATCCTCATTCTTGTATAGGCAAATATTGCAAAAATGTAGATTAAATCCTTAAAAAATTCCAAACTTTTTAGGGAAATAGGGATCTTTTCAGAAATAAATATTGAAATGACGCACTGTGTTAAAATTTGACGAACTTGCGTTATCATAGTCAACTTTTTATTGGGAGCAGCTATCTCAAAATAAACCCAGACATTTATAAGAATCATGAAATAACAATTCAGTAAAAACATTACTTAAAGAAAAATGAGGCTTTTCCTTTTCCTTTTTGGCGACTGGACAGACAGTCGACCTACTAAAAATTCGGATAGCATAGTTTCCGCGAAGATAATTTCTGGGAGAAAACTATTTAGAGAACTTAAAAGAAGATAAATTAGTTGTGCGCCACTTTCTAAAGTTTTCTAGGACGATATTTCGGCAAGAACTTTAGTTAACGAACACGATATAAGGACGTAAACTGGAATTGTGGCATTTAACAAAGTTTCCGGAGTGACTATTTAAAGAAGAATGTTGTTTAGAAAACTTTATATGAAGCGTATTAAAAGGCTTCGAAGCTTTTGACTAGAATTATCAAATGTGCGAGAATTTCTTTCACAAATATTCTTCGAGTGAAATCTCAGTTTGCATCATTGGGATATTTAAAATCACTATAAAAGAGAATTATAATTATTTAATTTTTTTCTGTTGTAAATACGTTAACGTAACAAAACGTCCATTTCCTGAGTAAGAAATATAGATAATACTTATAGATTATTAGATAATACTTATAGATAGTAAAATAATAATAAAAATACTTATAGATATCTATCAAAATTTTTCGAGCCAGAAACGTGAGAAATTAGCTATGTTGTCGTCAAATTTCAGAGTACAATAAGCGCGAAATTGCGAAACCTGATTTTGCCTATACGCGGTATCATAATTATTTACATTTGATTTGTCCAATACTTGAATTTCATTTATACAGCGTTCTTTCGCCATCACTAAATGCTTACTGGCATCACAGTCCTGTCTAGAAATTATCAAAAATTTTAAAGGAATTTCATCAGTTGAATATGAAGCTAAAGAAATTGTAATAACTGTAAAGTGGAAGCAAGAAGTGGAAGCAATGGCAACGGAGAAGTTAAACGAATTGTTAAGAAAAGCACATGAACTGCCTGATTTTACAACGGAGGTTGAACCAAACGAAGAATAAAGAAGACACCTTTGTAAAAGGCATTGAATAGCATTGAGTTATTTACTGATAAACGTTTAAAAAAATTGGGTCATTTATTGCCACAATCAAAAATCACCAGCTTTGGAAAATAAATAAAAATTGTAGCCGAACGTGTAATGCATAAAATGCATGTTTTTTAACTGATACTACTCAGAGCTATTTGTAGCTCGATTTATCAGCTGAAATGTTACCAGATTTGTTAGGGGAACAATGACGGTATGGAAAACCGATAGTTGCCGATAAGGAAAAAAATGGCGTTGTTTTAGTCTACACAATTGTAAAACTAGATAAATCAATTAACAGAGAAGAAATTTAAGTTCAACACTGTTTAATTCAAAAACTGAATTACACCAAAGAGTTTCAAGGATGATATTTCAGTCCACCTTAGCACTTTATTTAATAAAATCACTTCTTCCGTGATGGCATAGATCCTTTACAAGAGGCGGAGAAACCGAGATTTCCTGGGTGCTTGCAGCAGGCTAAAATTTATTCGGATTCTGATTTTTGAAGAAGAAGGAAAAAGAAAAAAGTGGGTTCTTGACCCTTGCGGGTCTTGCTCTCGCGAGCAGCGTGTACCAGCGGGCTACGGCTATGGATTCCCGGCTTTGATCAGATAAGAAGTTACATTAAAAAAAAGGGCGCTAGAGCTCATCGCAAAAATTTATAGCATCGTCGTTTCTCCATTATAATTTTCCGAGAATTGTAAATAGGTATTCTCAGGGTAATGCAGATACCAGTGGCTTTCTTGTTTATCCTGCCTAGTGCCCTTCCAGTTTGATCCCTTTCAAGACGTTTTTCCTGGTTTATTGAAGCGCTCCTGATAAGGTTCCTATTTCGGATTTAAAAAAAGCTTCCCAATACCTGTGTCTTCCTTGGGTCTTGATTTTGTTGAAGCGTTAGCGTTCCTGATTGAGAGTGTTCCTGATTTAAAAAAAGCTGCCAGTTACCAGTATTTTCCTGGGGTTTTGACTTGATTGAAGTGTTCCTGAATGCAGTGTGTATCATTTACCTGCATCCGGCAAACAGCACGATTTGGGTTTTGTGGATTTCTTCGAATGGTCAGCGAAATGTTGAACTATTAACACTCCGTATTAATCAGTCAACGAAATAAGCAGGACAATCTTTGAACTATTTAAAACTCCGTATTTATATCCGTCGATGATGCACACACGAGAATATAGAGTTTGATGTATAAACTTCACCCTGTGAGTGATTTTTGTTTGTTTGTCTTTTCTATTTAAACTGTACCGAGTAATGATACTTGCATTAATATACGTGTAAACGAAAGTGAATAGAAGAATTAAATAATGAGTAGTTATTAATGTACTTGTAAACGAAATGATTTGAAGATTTATGTAATGACAAGTTATTTAAATATACCTGTAAACGAATGATTAGAAAATTGGTACAACCACCTAAATTGTGAATTATGGAATGTTAAAAAAAATTTAGAACACCAACACTTAACATAAGTGTAAGATTTAAAATGATATATATGTTAATTTACATCGTTAGGTTAATTTGTAGATGTTTCATTTGTTTAATTTAGTGTATAATTTACTGTGGTCTGTCATGTTCCTCCATTTGTTTGAGCTGGGAGGCTTTTAAAAAACATGGGGATTTATTGAATTTGGGTTATTGATTTTTCCTTTGCACAGGTTACTCACAACGCTAACCGAAAATTTAATTTGTATTACCACTATACGATTGTTTATTCGATTGATCTTTGATTAATATGAATTAGATTTGTTTTGATTATATTATTTTTTTAGTTAATTTGTGCGGCACCATAAGTTGAATCAAAGTTCAAAATTTTAAAAAGGTATTAAAACCACCAAATTTAAGATAAACTTTCAGATATTCAACAATGGTGCCGTGACCAGGATGTTGCATAAATGGAAATAGAACAGATGGGACTGGAACTACGTCGCTTCCAGGTTCTAGCGCGACCAGTTACATCGGGAAACCACGCAAGGGAGGATCCGATATTTTTTATATATTCATCATTTAATTAAACAGTAAATTTTAAATGGTTCAAGTAGTATTCGGACGCATACAAGTTGTATAAATTTAAGTATATCAATTAAAATGCTATTTGTGTATTTATTATATAGTATCACTCATATACAATATCTAGTTTGTACTTATAAAATCACTAAAGTTATGAGTTAAGATTTAATATATATTACAGAGAAATATTATGCCTAATAGAGATGATAATATAAATTATAATCTGAATTTTTAATGCTTTTGATAATATTTATCAACACATTTCCTCCTAGCTTGTGATTGCAATATGCAAGGTTCTGCCCGTGACGATTGTGAGCAAATGACTGGACGATGTGTGTGTAAACATGGAATTCTGGGAATGAAATGTGACATTTGTCCGGAAGGCACAGTTTTGGGACCAGATGGTTGTATGGATGGTAAGTTAAGTCAATTCATTTCATTTATAATTCAATAATCATTACTTCAGTTGTAAGTAATTTAAAGTCATACAATTTTAAATGACATTAATAGAACAATTTTTATAGCAAATATTTTCGAAGATTTATATTCTAATCCTCAGTTATACACTGACTACCAATAAGTATTTGGACACCTGTGATAGAAAAGAAAAACTAACTTTATTCAAAATCAATAGTTGTTAGAGCCTCCACGAGAGGTAATTACAGAGTGGACCCTCCGGGGCATACTTTCCACAAGTCTTTGTATGACAGCTAATGGTATTTTCTTCCACTCGGCTTGGGGAAGACATAGGAGTTCCTTTACCGATTTCGCACGGGTAGTGCACCCCTGAATTCGGCGATGCAACTCGTCTCAGAGATTCCTCGATAGGGTTCAGGTCTGGACTCTGGGCAGGCCAGTCCATTCGATGAACTCCATTGACACCATACCAAGCCTTGGTTAACGTCGAAACATGACAACTGGCATTGTCGTCCTGAAAGTAACACGGGTCCAACCCGTAAAACTGCCACAACGTAGGAAGCACATTGTCATCCAAAATAGTGCAGCAGGCATCGGAGTTGAGCTTATCATGAATGGCGACCAAGGGTCCTAGCCCATACCAGGAGAAACAACTCCAGACCATAATTCCACCTTCGCTGAACTTGACTGTTGGCACAATGCATTCTGGCAGGAGACGTTCTCCAGGTAGACGCCAGACCCAGACCCTGCCATCCTAACGGTAAAGGGTGAACCTTGATTCGTCACTCCAAAGAACCCGTTTCCACTGATCTACGGTCCAATTTAGATGTGCTTTGCACCACATTAACCGAGCAGCGTGGTTGGACTTTTGTGATCAAAGGCTTATGGGCAGCAGCACGACCATGGAAACCAAGCAGATGTGCTTCCTTACGGATGGTATTCATTGAAACAATACTCCCGGAATGCCTGTTGAAACTCCTCGCGGATGAGGGCCATCGGTTGGGTGCAGTTCTTCCGAATTTCTCTAGACAGCACTCGTCGGTCCCTATCTCCCAGTTTCGTTGGTCTGCCGACTCGGGGCGCATTCCGACAATCACCGCTCACCTTCCACTTCTTAATCACATAGGCCATTGTCGATTTTGGGTACTTCAGATCGCTAGATATGTCCCTTAAGGATCGGCCACATTTGTGATACCCGATAATTATACCTTTCTCGAAATCAGAGATGTCCGAATTGCGAGGCATTTTGCATGCGACTAAAGCCGATGCTGTTTCCTACACGATATATACAGGCGGAGTCCTTGACGTACCTTAGGATCGCAGATATCGTCATTTGCATAGGTGTCCAAATACTTATTGGTAGTCAGTGTAGTACTGTCTTGTCAGAATTCGTGTATATATATGTGTGTATATGATGTATCATGATTGAACAGTAAAACATTCTTTTATTCAAACGTTTAGGGGGTAATTAATATTTTATTCGGTAGTATATAAAAATAGTATATTGTTGCAACTTTCGCTAAAAATGATGCTAGAAAACTCTCCAGAAGACAACACCTTTGTGTTTGTTTTTCTCTTTATTTATGGAATATAAAAAATTAAAATGCGCTATAAAACATTTAATACGATATTCTTCATATTTTGTTAAAACATTATTATACTTTTACGTTAGTTAGATATAAATTCATTTTTATTATCATGTCCAATACACGTTTTCAATAGTTCATATTAAATGAAATTTCATAGAAAATACAACTCTGTCTAATAAAACCCTCAGTAGAAGAATTTGCTTCATTTTTACTCTCTTTTTTCCAGAATCACTAGCACAGTCTTATCCTGGGTCATGCTCTCAACTTCACTGCAAATTTGGTGCTATCTGCAAGGAATCTGGAGGAAGATCGCAGTGTTTTTGCGAGATCTCTTGTCCCCCAATATCCGCCCCAGCACCAGTTTGCGGATCAGATGGAAATACTTATGTCACAAATTGCCAGATGAGCCTCTTCAGCTGTCGCTACCAGAAGCCAATCACTGTCAGACAACAAGGACCATGCAAACCCGGTATGGTATAATGTACTTCTTGCTCTTAAAAGAAATAATTTTCTTACATCTCTCTCTCTCTCTCTCTTTATATATATATATATATATATATACATTTCGTATTCTACTATTTACACTCAGTATGTTTCTTATTTACATCAGTATGTTTCCTTCTATATGTAAAGACGGAATGTTTAAATCATTAATGATGTGAAGTTCATATAGTTTCCGTTAATAAAATTATAGATTTGAGAACTATGCTGGTGTAGTAGAAGAAATAAAATGTTTCCGTTGAATGCAGAACAACAATTCTTAAAAGGACATATAAGGAGTTAAAGCAAATAACTCCTCAAGCATACCTTGAAATCATTTACTCACTCTGTGTTTTTCTATTAATATTAAGCTTTACATAATACTAAGTAAATTAATGGATGATTTGAAAAAAGTTAAATTGCCTGTGATGTACAAAAGATAATGTTATATAATAATTTGTATAGGCGATTACAAAATATGCAGTTCATGATCACTTTCATTATCCTGGACAGAAAATATTAGTACAATGTGTGATCACAGTGAACTGTGATGGTATGACAATTTCTTTTCTTTTAATTAATTATAATGCAAACTAAACCTGCTCTCTTAATGTTCCTTGACTTAGCAATCACTTAGCAATTTGGTATTAATGCATACCAAAATATTGTAAGGAATATGTTAATTTTATTAATAGTTAAATTTTAAGTTCCTTTCCTGTCAAATTCTTAACTTCAACTTACTACTTCCGGCCAGAACGTAGTTTTGGAATCATTCTGAATACTTAATGAGGAGAGGTACTTAAACCGCAAAGTCTGCTTGCTGAGTTAGAGAGAATCAGAGTTTTTGATTTGCGCGCGTCTGCCTTTTGGCTACTCTCTCTCAAAGCTGTTATTACGCTCGGCCGTACTCAGGCTCTTGATAAGCTTTGTAGTCAAATAGAGTTAAGGGGCCAACTCGATTAGAATCTTGATAGCTTCGGCTATATCTCTTTAGTTAATCTTAGTTTTAGTTTATTTCTTAGTCTCTTAAGTTCAAGCCCAAGTTTCGGCTTTTATTGTACACTCCAAGATGGAGTTTTGTTAAATCTTATTGGAATAATAAAGGGTTAGTTACCCTTCCATATTGTTGCTTCTTATTACACGAACTCAAGCGATTATTCGCTAACTAGTTCTTAAGATTCGTCACTTTCTGCAGTAACTGAAAAATGTACTATTGAGAGTCGTGCAATATCATAGACACTTCTACTAAGTTTTCCGTTCTAATAGACCGGCTCACATTCAAAAAGATTGAATCTCAGGCATGTATACAGGTCAAACGTGTTGAATAATACTTTCATTTTCAAAGCATTTATCTTCCAGATAGAATCAACAAGATCAAACATTAACGGCCATAAGAGAAAATTGCTTGTTTCTAGAAACCTTATGTGGGAAAGAAAGATATCACGGATGCACTGATAAAGAACCTATATCTCAAATATTCAGCATTTGACTCAAAGCAGCTATGTATCTGAATATTTTTTAAACATAATAGTGGGCTATGGATTCATCAGTTTCTCATTTCATTATATATAAACCTAAACTCTTTTAGTTTGGTAACATAGAGAATAATCATTACACACACACACACACACACAAAATGAGTTTCAGAGACTTGGAATTACTTGTTTCACACATATTCAGTTTAAATAGGAAAGAAACAGATAACCTTTGAAGTATCTTGTCTGTTAGAGGCACAACAATATGTTATAAAATATATACATTATAACTTTCTCAAAATCATTTTTCAAGATGGTGTAAAAACAAATATTAAAGATTTTTGTACTAGTTCGGTAGATAGTTGGTGCTATACGAAAAATTGCTTTTCTAAGTGAAGAGATTCCTTCGTGGAAGACTTCCTAAACATTGCACAAATGATAACCAGGATTTGGAGTGGTTGATAAGAACACTTGATGAAAAATCAAAAATATAATTCATTCGTCTACGCGGGAGGGTTCTAAAGACATGTTTATAGCCATGGAAAAACTACGATAAGCACACAAAAACAATCAGCAACACAGCCTTCAGGCTGTCAGGCTGTAACGGTGAAAATAGCTTCACGGCAAAGCACTGAAAGTACAGCTTCCGACTCCATCCATCGCTCTCGAGCTAATCTGAACTCAAAGCACTACTACTGAACTCAACATACTCCAAGATACTCTATGATACACTGCTACTCTGCTTGTAGACGGGGTATTTATAGCTTTTGTCCTGTCTTCGAGAACATTCTGGGAAAAACCGGTAAGAATTCGTTCTAGAATGCTCTCGCTCCGTCTATAGCATATCGCCAATTTTGTCCCCCAAAATGATTTGGCAAACTGGCAACCCTGCCTTTCCTTGCCACTTTCTGACAACTTTAAACCCGCCTTGTGAGGAAGCTGTTTTACCGCTGCGGGGATTTTTCGTCACAATATTACAATATTCAAATACTGAAATTCAGCATAACAGCATTCAGATATAAAAATAAAGAGCTACTTATTTATTTTATATAATAATTTTTTTAAATATCGATTGCTTGAAATATAGGATTATATAATGTATTTCAATTTTATAGTAAAATCTGAAAGTTGGGAATCAGACTATGCACTGAAACTCTTCATTAATTTAAATACTCGTCATTAATTTTTTATATAAAGCATGCTTAATTTTGGAAATAGTAATCTTACTGAATAAACAAAAGTTGCTGTTTATTTTCTTTACAAGCGTAAAATTGTCTGCCCAAATGTTCGCCATACGGCAGATTAAAATATATTGAAAGAATGCTTCGTAATAAAATTTCATAGCAAAAGCAAAAATTAACTTTAATAACATTTTTGACATACAATATATATTTCCAAATATTGCTTTAACAATAACATTTCTTATTAAAGACTTTATTTAGCAATTTATTATTTAATTGTTTTCATCTGCTAAAGGTCTGCTCACATCTTTTGATCTTGTCGGTCGTAAATTGTGTATTTAAAATTTAATTTATAAATGAGAATACTTGAAATTATAATTTTAAAAAAAATCTTATATACTGCAGGAAATAAATAAATGTTTTTAATTTCTTTTATTATTTGCATCTCATGGCAAAGTAGAATGTTATTATAAAAATTTTATATTTTATTGTATTTTACTCTACAGCTGTTTATTTTCCTAAGTTAAAAGCATGTTTCGTTAATTCGATAAACACTGTTTTTCTTCAGTGTTAGTCAAATTAAATTGAGGCAAGAGGCAATCTTATTTTGTCAAATATTTAGTACCTAAAACCGTATCGATTTCGAGTGTGATCAGATACGAACCCTGTTTTTCCAGAAGTAAAAAACTTTTTCCAAAGTTTTTGACAAAACCTTCCCTCCTGAAGAAGAGAAACCTGTGTCTAGTTTCTCGAAATCGGTAGATTTTTATTTTAAATATATATTAAAGTAAGAGTGCATTTTCCCCTCATTAAAATTTTTCATTGGTGTCTTTCTTTACCTTTTCAAATTAAAAGCGTTTGAAATTTTATAGGACTGTAAGATATTATAATCTTTTGCAACAGTAACAACAAACGAAACAATCTCAATTATATTAATTCTACTACTTCAATTTAGAAGCTGTCACCATTCATATATAGATCTGCATGGAATGTTTTCGTCATATTTCCTTCCTTTTTTTGCAGGTGGCATAATAATTGGTGCTGAAGACGTCTCTCCCACCGCGGGCCCTGTCAGAAGATCAACTGTGCAGAAAACCACACTTGATCAGTATGAATCTAAATCTACTAGGGATGTTAGCCATTCAGAACAGTTTTATCTCAGCACTGGCCCAACAACATCAAAGACACCAATAGACAGTAAGTAAAAGAATTTAAATATTACCTCTTCCTTTTTTTATTACTGATACAATGGGTTATAAAAATTCTGATCTGGGAAGTAAAATTCACATGCAGAAATATCACGATGTGCACTACAATCTTCAACTCATGACAAACGAAAGAATCTTACAAGGTATTTCTCCCGTCTAGCATGCCTTCGTTGTGTAATGGTCAGCACGCTCGACGTGTATTCGAGAGGGCCGAGATTTGAATCCCTGCGAGGGCATTGCTGATTTTTCATGTCTCTCGCACCAAAAAATCCTAATAACTCTACAGTGGCGCCCGAGCTAAAAAAAAAGGTGGTAGATGATGATTTTCCATCACCAAGATTTGGTGACTGGGTCCCCAAATCCCCAGTCGCCCTTTAAAAGGGAGAGTATATAAGGTATTTTTCCCGCCTTCTTAGCATGCCTTCGTGGTGTAATGGTCAACACGCTCTGTGCGTTTTCGAGAGATCAGAGGTTCGAGTCGCAGCGAGGGCATTGCTCATTTTTCATCTCTCCTGCTTTCAAAAAATACCTAATGTCTCTACAGTCTCAAAGCATGAGGAAACATCATTAAAAAGGAAAAACTTTGAAAAGTTTCCATTGTAACAATAGTTTATTATTCAATTAAATTTACTGAAAGCGCTGTTGAAAATTTATTCCAAAACTCAGATTTTTTTTGTGCTTTATTTCCAGACCTTATTTCAATTTATTTTATATAATGTTTTAATTAGGCTTATGTTTCGTTTTAATATCAGTAGCAATCACGAGCATAAGACGCAGTCGCTACGCAAACCGATATATATTTAAACTAAATATGTTCATGCATGCGGTCTGTTTGGCGAAACTTGTCTTACGGTTTTATTTCTATGTGTAAATCCGTTATTGCTTAATAACAGGATCGGAAGTATGTGGATTACAATTATAAAAACGTTAACGCAATTATTAGTGACACTATCAACATATAGCTTACTAAATCGATTGGTTAGGCTGCTTTCTGAATATTTTTAGACGCGCAGTTTTCTGCCTGCTATTCAAGCTAATACTTAGAATCTGTGTGTGCCAATGATGAGCGCACCATCTGCAGTCGGTTAATTAACTCATAAAAGTCAACATTAACTTTTAGAAGGAATAAAAGTTTCACAATGCTGCAAAAAAAGGAACATATCTTCTCCGAAAAATAAATTTTTAATTTAAAGATATTACTTAATTATTTATATGTTGTCTGACAGAATAATCAGTTCAAATAAAGCATAATTTAAAATTTAATTTAGAGCGACAAACGCTGTGCACAAACCCCAAAAACGTAAATAAACTATTGTACAACCGTGTACTATTTTCTTGTGTTTAGAAATGGAAATTTGTAAGGCACAAAATAAAATTTTAATACAGTTTTTGTACTAAAATCCGATTAACGGATTTCTTTTAGGTAATTAATACTGAATTTATTTTTATCATTTATTTAAAGAAATTATAGTATTTTTCTTTATGCACAAAACGGATTTGCAAAATCTTTTCTTATGAATAACGATATTTTTAGTCAGCGTAATTAATTATATTCCTGAAAGCTTATAAAAATTTTAATTTTAGTCTTCCGCAACGGGAATTATAAGAAGTAGAATAATTACTGTATTTATAAAGAATTATCTAGTAATAATTTTTAACTTTGTTAATTTTGTTACAAAAATTAATTTCAACAGGAGGCAAAAAGAATAAAATATAATCCAGTCTCCTTCCTACCCACTGTCAGGAGAAATTCTTAAACCCATATTCTTTTCTCCATACCTTTACAAAGCTAGCGGCATTAATTAAAAAATAAAGGACCTAAGGTTAAAATAAAGGACAGGTTACCTAATTAAAAACGCATATGAATAAAAATATCGTTTTTAGTCCAAAGGTGTGGTAGCCAAGAAGGTTTATTGATTTCACAACGGCATTTTTTGGCGTTTCACTATAAACGGCGAATTACTTTTTAAATTGTTGCCACCAAGTATTGTCGCTCTGTGTTATATTAAAAGAAAATAAAGAAAGAAAAATCTACATGAATATTTGTATGTTTTCGTATTGTGAAAACAAAACGTTACCTAGAGCATTCAAATGTTGAATAACGTAACCCTGCACCCAAACATGGGCACCTGGAAACCCAAATTTTGCATATCAAATTTGTTTTGTTTGTAAACCTTTAACGAATTTTCTACTAGCAAACTCCACAGTTTCAAAGCGAGTACAGGAAACACATTTTTATCTCCAGCGTGCGAGATTGTCTATAGGAAATTCTAAAGTTATGCTGTTTTTAAATATTTTGCGATATTGCTGTTGAATTGAATTTTATGTAGTTTAGGTGCGAAGAACATGATATTTAATAAATAAAGTTGACGCACAAAACATTAAAAAAAGTTAATATAAAATATGAACGCTTTCAGATTTCATATTTTTTTTATTATTCATTTTGAGGAAATTTTCTGAAGTTCCTTAATTCATATTTGAAACTGATTGACAAGGAAAGATCTCGGATTTCCAGACATTTTTCACGAATCTGCCAGGAGTGCAAAGATAAGTGAATAAAACAGCAAATGTGGTCACACAGCAAACTAATTACAGTACTGTTTTTTAGTGGTCGAACAGAGCCGGTGATTATATCAACTATTGAAGCAATAGCACTGCACTACATGACACACACTACCTCACAGGTGTATTTCTTATCACAAAATTACCTCGTAAATCACAAAACATTATATATGATCTGTGATTACAAATATTAAAGACTTACGCTTCACTTTGTAAATGAGCGATTGTTTATTGTCCATGTACTATAAGCTTCTCTCCTTCCAGCATGCCTTCGTGGTGTAACGGCAGCATACTCGGCGCGCATTTGAGAGATGTCCCGACCAGGGCATTTTACATTTTTATGTCTCCTGCTTCTAAACAACCTACAGTACAAAGCGAGATCGCACGTTGTTTCATTCACGTAATTACGCACTTCTGAAAACAGTATGGGAAATGTCATCGGGAGATCGAATATCTTATTAGTCAATTAACAATATATATTTTTAATTAACAATCCAGAAGCTTTTAATATAATAATAATTTTAAAAAATCGTACTGGTTGAAATTTCCTCATTACAATTGTTAAGAAATGTACCATTTAAAAAAATTTAAATATTTGTTTAACTTTTAGACTAAACGTTGACTGCTGATATAACTCGAAATGCATAACCTTCATAGAAACTATTGCAATTAAAGATTACTTATTTTACTCTTTTAATAATTAACAGTACATTTAAATAAGAGGATATTCCATTATTTTCTTATAAACATTATTTGTCCAACTTTTTAATCGAACTGCATGAAATTATGAGGTTTTTTATAATTTCATAAGCTTTTACTTTTTTTCTTCTTTTAATTTTTTAAGAAAATTTAGTAATTACTAGGAAGTTTGTTAAAAAAGGAACTTTAGAATTATTTCGAAAATTTTGAAAGGAATACTAATTCAGAAGTCAAACAACAAATATGGACGATTATTTAAATTTCATATTGGATAGGAAATTTAAATTTCATATTCATTAATCTAGAGAGATTGTGTCTTAATTAATTGAAAGGAATGTTAATGAGCTTGTATTATATAGAAAAATGTTCTATATATATAATTGTAAAGTTATATTTTCTGGAAGTTATTGAAAAAGTAGTCAAAAGGAATTTATTATTATATGTCAGAACTTCTTTAAATGCAATTTGTAAATTATGCACAAGTGTTACATCTGATAATATGTAACACTTATGTAACAATATGTAACTTTTTAAATTATACAGACCTAGAATTAAAGAATGGAATAACTGTATTTAATAAAATAGTGTCACATTTATTCCATTAATTAATTATATTTAATTAATTTATTTATAAGATATTGTTTGTAATGCCTTATGTTAAATAAAATAGCTAAAAGGATTTTAAAAATTTATATTCGCAGCTAATTTCGCTAAAATATTACCGTATTTCAGCAGTATATTCATTTTAACGCTAGGTTTTAAAAATTTTAAGAATAATCCCTTTCCTCTAACGTTAGTTTTCACTTCTGAAGACTAGTTTATTGGTAAATTGTATTCCCTTGATTATTTTTATTCAATACATTCAGCTTGTATTTGCGTTTTTGTATTAGCATTTTAGCCATTTAATTTGACACGGCATTTATTATTGAAATGCATTTTCTGCAGATTCTTAGTCAATTTACGTAGACGTGGCGGGTGTTACCTTACTTATGAAATTTTCCAAACTCGGGATGTCACCTTACTTTTATTATTTGCGTTCCCCTCATTGTAGCCTTATGTGCTGCTGATGTGTTCGATCTTTCAAAATCCGGGTCTCCCGTTCATACCCTTCTCCTTCACTCCTCCAGTCCATTCTGGGAATGGTGGTGAAAGCTCACTCATGTTAAGTGTCCCTGGGATTAACATTATCAGATCAATATCAATCAGCTATTGCAATGTTAAGACTACAATGTATTCTTATTGTAATGTAGGTTTTGAATAATATTGTGGTAGCTACCAGTAGTTTACTATGTTCATACAACGTTAATTATGTTTCTTACCGTAACTATATTCTTAGAAAATTAATAATAATTTTTCCTCTCGATTTTCAGAATATATAGCTAGCTAAAAAAAAGAAGAAAATAAGCAAGAAAATGCGGTGCCATATTTAGGAATTGGATAGATGAGAAAAATCTCACCCAAACATTAATTCCATGAATTTTTAATTGGTATTCAATTGGATATCCTGCTAGTAATGTTACAGATATTTAACTTCGGGACGGGATAACAGTTTCAGAGTATATTACAAAAAAAAAAAAAAAAAAAAAATCATTTGACAATGAAGAATAAAAACAATCTGAAAAATCTGAAATTATCTGTGTATTTTCATTAAAAACGAGTTACATTTGAAAAAGAATAAAATATGATTTATCAATTCATATTGTAACGTGCATATAGGTTCGTAAAGAT